TGGGAGGACATCACCATGGACTTCATCGAAGGGCTGCCAATCTCTAATGGATTCAACGGAGTCATGGTCGTAGTGGATCGACATACGAAGTATGCACACTTCATACCCATTACGCATCCCTACATGGCGAAATCCATTGCCAAGCTATTCATCGAGTACGTTATGAAGTTGCACGGGGTGCCACGCTCGATTGTCTCCGACCGTGACCCGATCTATATGAGTAGCTTTTGGTCAGAATTCTTCAAGCTACAAGGGACCAAGCTATCAATGAGTTCAGCCTACCACCCACAAACAGATGGGCAAACCGAGGTGACCAACCGCACACTGGAGAAATACTTACGGTGCTACGTGCAACAATTTCCGAAGAAGAGGGAGAATTTTCTACAATGGGCTGAATATTGGTACAATACCACTTACCATGGCTCGACCAAAACCACGCCATTCGAGCTTGTGTACGGGCGCAAATCGACTACGCTCGTGAGTTACTCGAAAGGAGGTGTGATCAACGATGAAGTCGGTCGAGAACTTGAGGAGCGAGATCTGATGTTACAAGAATTAAAGAAAACTCTAGAAGGCTCGATCAACCGCATGAAAACCTTTCATGATAGCAAGAGGCGCGAGGAAAGTTTCGAGCCGGGCGACTATGTCTACTTGAAGCTACGGCCATTTCGACAACGTACGACTGCGCAAGGGGCCGCGACTAAGCTTCGGGTGCGCTACTACGGGCCATATCAGGTTTTGAAACGCATAGAGCAAGTAGCTTATCGCCTAGAGTTGCCAGAGAGTTCGTATATTCATCCGGTTATACATGTCTCGCAACTCAAGAGGATTATAGGTGAAGCGCACAAGTGGTGCGAGGAGTTGCCAGCGTCGGCGACTGATGGACGGGCCATTGCAAGGCCAAGTTGCGCGATCGAGTATCATCAAGTAAGGAAAGCTGGACGTTCTTGTTGGGAGGTATTAGTCGAGTGGGAGGAGTTGCCATCGGAGGAAGCCACTTCGGAGGATCTAGACCAGATGCGCGATTAGTTTCCGGATTTCGTCCTTGAGGACAAGGAAACACTTGAAGGGGACGGGAATGATGCGGATGTGGCGAGGCAACTCAAGAACGCGTCAAGCCGTGCCTACAATGCACGCAAGAGGCTAGCGCGACGCACAAAAGAGATGCAAGCCATCGAGGCTGACTCGTGCGGGGAGTGCGAAGATGGCGAAGTGGTGCCAACGGGCGGACTGATGCGCGGGCACAATGCACAGGCGATGGGGGTTGACGCACGCGCATCAGGCACATCGGGCAGAAGCGCGACAGGTGACTGGGAAGCGGCGAGTGCTGGGAACACGTACGATGGAAACGCGAGGAGAGCGGGCGCGCGTGGTACGCTGGGCGGGTGTGCACGCGTGGAGAAAGGCGGTGTGACCTTAGTCCTCGAGGACTAAGGCAAGGCGCGTGGGCGGTGGGGATCCGAGGCGGCGTGAAGGGCGGCTAGGGTTCTTTTCTTGGATTGCAAGACAAGATCACTTAGGATTCTTTAGATATTTAGTTTCCTTCTTTTCATAAGATTTCTAGATTGTTTAGGATACTTAATATTTTATTGCTTTATTAGAGTTATAGTTAGATTAGGACTAGATTTATTTGATGCCTAAATAAAGGCCCTTTCTCTTCGTGATTTCTTTTGCAATTTTATTCGTTACGAGGGGCGCGGGTGTGTGAACCTCCGAGACACCTATCGTCGGTTCAAGGCACGAGTTTGTGGCTTATCGGCAATCGGGACACGCGATCTTCACCACGCGGCTGGACTCGAGGCAGACGCAGACTGAGGCTACACGGGCGCTACCGGGTGTCCCTGAGGTCACTGGGCACTCGGGCGTGCTGCTGGGCACGTCCCGAGGCAAGCTGGGCTCAGCAGACCTGACACGGGTCGGCACTATATGCGACACGAGGCTCTAGCGCGAGACCTCGTGCCCTGGGGCTGGCACGGCGCTATCGGGCGCCATGCATGCTGCTTGGGTGTGACTTGCGCCGATGCTGGGAACACGATCGCGGATTGAGCGCTGTGGGCGCGGTCGCGTGCACGCGGGCAGTGCCTCGTGCCTACCGGACGCGGGCACTGGCTAGGGCTAGCCTCTGCAGGCACGGACAGGCTTGGGGCCGGCACTGTGCGCGCTATAGGCGCGTGATGAGAGATCGTGCGTTCGGTTGCCGATCGAGCCACGCGAGCGCCTCGGTCACGACGATAGTTTGGAGGTTCACTCGCGCGCCCCTTCGAAAGATAATTGAAAAAAAAACGTAATGAATTCTAAGGCAAAGAGTTGAACAAAAGTTCGGTTTTTGTATTAATTCTTGAATGATGAAAATAACAAGAGCATATGCCTTTATATAGGCTCAAAATAATTCTAGTCCTAATCAAACTAAACCACTAATTAAAGCAATAAAATATTAAGGGTCCTAAACAATCTAGAAAGCATAAAATAATAAGAAAACTAAAGATCTAATAGAATCCCAAAGGATCTTGTCTTGCGCATCACGCCCGAAACCCTAGCCGCCTCGGGATCCTCTCTCGGGCACCTTGCCTATTGCCTCGAGTTCTAAGGCATCGCCGCCTTCGCGCGTGCATGTCTCCTCTGCATGCGCGTCGCCTGTTTCCTCAAGGACTATGGTCGTGTGTGCATACCCGCCCGCGTGCGCACACGCGGTCCTCTCCTTCGCGCCATCCGTTTCCCCGACCATTTAGCGCGCGTCGTCCCCTTGCCCGTGCATGCCCATCTCGAGTATGAGCGTTTCGCCTATCTTTCGCGCTAACCTTTTCCTCGCGTGATAAGCCCGGCTCACGGCATTTTTGAGTTGTCGCTCCATGTCTTCATCATTACCGTCCCCTTCAAGTGCTTCCTTGTCCTCAAGGACGAAAGTCGGAAATTGAGCACGCATCTCATCCAAATCCTCCCAAGTGGCTTCTTCCCTTGGCATCTCTTCCCACTCAACTAGTACTTCCCAACGATTACGTCCGGCCTTCCTAACTCGCCGGTACTCGATCGCGCGGTTCGGCCGCACAATGATTTGCCGATCTTGCGCGGTCGCGGGAAGTTGCTCGCACCACTTATGAACTTCTCCTAAGCTCCTCTTGAGTTGCGACACATGTACAACCGTGTGTATGTGCGAGTCCTCCGGAAGCTCAAGTCGATAGGCCACTTTGCCTATGCGCTTCAGAACTTTGTATGGCCCATAGTAGCGGACGCCGAGCTTGGTCGCGGCCTTCTGCGCTGCCGTGCACTGCCTGAATGGTCGCAATTTCAAATAGACGTAGTCGCCCTGCTCGAAGCTCTCCTCGCGCCGCTTGCCGTCGTGATAGGCCTTCATCCGGTTGATCGAGCCTTCAAGGTTTTTCTTCAGCTCGCGCAGCATTAAGTCGAGTTCCATCAATTCTCGATCGACCTCTTCATTTATAGTGCTCCCCGCCGCATAGCTTACTAGCGTCGCGGCTTCCTCCTGTACACCAGCTCGAACGGCGTAGCCTTGGTCGAGCTATGGTAAGTTATATTATACCAGTACTCAGCCCAAGGTAAGTATCTTTCCCATTGCTTCAGAAAGTGGTGCACATAACACCGTAGGTATTGTTCCAATGTGCGGTTGGTGACCTCGGTCTGGCCGTCCGTCTGCGGGTGGTAGGCCGAGCTCATCGATAGCTTGGTCCCTTGCAACTTGAAAAACTTGGACCAGAAGCTGCTCATGAAGATCCGGTCGCGATCAGAAACAATTGACCGCAGCACCCCGTGTAGCTTCATGATGTACTCGATGAACAGCCTCGCGATGGATTTCGCCGTGTACGGATGTGTTAACGGCACGAAGTGTGCGTACTTCGTCAACCGGTCTACAAAAACCATCACACCATCAAACCCGTTCGACACTGGTAACCCTTCAATAAAATCCATCGTGATGTCCTCCCAAATCCTAGCGGGTACCGGCAATGGTTGCAGCAGCCCGCCTGGTCGCCGCGCGTCGGCCTTGGTCCACTGGCACTCATCACAGTGCACAACGTAGTCGCGCACCGTCCCTTACTGTCGCGGCCAGAAGAAAGGATTGGCCATCCTCGCCCACGTCCTATAGAACCCAGAGTGCCCACCAAGCTTAGAATTGTAGAAGTGCTGCAAGATTTTTTCGCGGAGCTGCCCATCATCCGGCACGAAGACCCGACCTCGGTAGAGCAAGAGGCCGTTGTGCCACTCGTAGTCCACGACTGCCGCGTCTCCCGTGTCTACCTTGCTCTGAAGGTATTGACATTGTGCATCCCTTTCCTGGGCCATCTTCACCTCATCCCACACGGTCCATGTTGGCCCAGAGATAGTCTCGAGCTCGCCATGTCAGTGCGTTGGGATAGTGCATCAGCCACGGCGTTTTGGCATCTCGGCCGGTACACGATCTCGAAGTCGAAAACCATGAGCTTCGAGACGAACTTCTGCTGCTCAGGCGTCACTATCCTTTGCTCAAGCAGGTGCTTGAGCGACTGCTGGTCGGTCACAATCCGAAAGCGTCGCCCCAAGATGTAAGCCTCGTTCGTTTATTAGAGTTTTTGGAATTTTATATTATTATTCATTTATTTGCCTTATTTTATTTATTTGCCGGTTATGATACTAATTGCTCGTTTTATTTGTACCGCTTGATATAAAATTGTTACGTGGCTAATATATGTTTATATATTATTTATGTGATTATTATGTGTCTATTTATTTTATTTATGAATTATAATTATTAGGATATATTTGATTAGATTTTAAATTATTTCGGCGACTTTTGTTTTAATCGCGCAAACCAAACCTTTTTTATCCGTTTCGATTCGTTTTCGAGCCATTGCAACTCGAACCTGAAATATAACATTTTTGACCCAAATCATTCAATTAATTCCTGTCCAATTAGAATGTATTTCCTACCCCTTTTGTTAAATTTTCGGACCAAATCTTGTAATGTTAATATTGCCCCATTGTGTATATTTTTGGCCCGGTTGAGTTAGTTGATTTGGGCCCAATGTTGTTATTGGCCATTGGAATTAACTAGGCCTTTCTTTTTCATTGCTGTACGACCGAGTCTCACTCTCAATCTGCTGCGATTCTTGGGGGAAAAATCTCGTCGTTCGCTCGACAATCTCTCTATCGTTCATCTCTTAAATCTCGGCCAAGAGAGATCGACTTCCCTTCATCAAATCGCGAGTTCAATTTTGCAAACCCCTCTGCTCGATTTCGTGAATCGCCGCCTGAAAAATTTGTCGCCATTTTTGTCCGGCGAGCCCACCTTCGAACAACAGATGTCGATCGAGCAGCAAGTTCCAGCTTTCCATCGCCGGCGAATTTCCTCTATCTGCACGCTCGGATGACTGTCTGAACGAGGAGCGGCGGCGGCCTCCCCCGTCCACCTCGCGTCTTGCTGGAGTAGAATTGAGCAGCGGCTTTCCTCGTGCTTCATCAACCATCACAGACGACCCTCTCCGCCATTACCGGTCAAACCGAGAACGCAGCCCTCCGCCGTCGAGCAGACGAGCCCTGTTCCAATTACAGTTTCCGTCGAGCCTCCATCGAAAATCCCAGCCACCGTTGACGACCCTTCACCGCCTCCTCTGCCACCGTATGCAAATGACCAGCGAGATCCACAGACGAGAGAAGCAGCCGCTGAACCTCTTTCCACAAGCAGCCCCGCCGGCGTCCGTTCACCACCCGTCGCTTGGAGCCCAGCCGCGTCGCAACTCTTCCGGCGACCCCTGACCTTTAGCAGCGGCCGGTTTCCTTTCTATCTCTCCCCGCCGATGATGCCGAGCAGCCCCATTCGTGTGCGAGAGGAGCCCGAAACCGCAACTGCAGCCTTTCTGGCCCGTGTGAGAAGAGCATCGACACCCCGTCGACCATCCGTTTCGCAGCATCAGGTTGCACGGCCACATGAACCGGATAACAACTCGTCGGACCTTCGCTCGACAGCTGTTCGTGTTCTTCACCGAGAAATAGCTGGCCCGTTTTTCGGTCCAAGTACCAACAACCCTGTAAAAATCGAGCTCTCCTTTCAGTAGGTATTTTTTGCTGAGCTTTAGCACCTCTATTTGGCCGTGATTTACTTGATTTTATGAGCTTTACTCTCAATTATAGGAGGTTATATAAACATGCTTGAGTTGTCGAAATTGGAAACATGAGAAGTTTGTTCAGGTGGTATTTGTTCTGCCTTGATTGTGCTGAACTATCTTGCTTTTAATGTGCTATAAGATTGAGTTGAAAATGGGAGCTTGAATTTGGAGTTCTTCGTATTGTTTGTTGTGACTCGATGTTGCTGTTAATGTGCTGAGATTCATGAGTTGAGATGTGGTAATTCAGTTGCTAGTAGGTTTTTAAAACATGCTTAAAATTGGAGAAAAAGGAATTTTGAGCCTCCATCTTCATATGTCCATCAGGCTATTTCGCATAATTGAGTTAGTTTTGCTGTGTTGATTTCAAAATATATGACTTGATTTGCATTTAGTTATAAATATGAAGATGCAGTCCCAATTCATTCTTTTGATAAGTTTTGTTTCGGACTTCATAATTAGTTTGATTCAGAGTATGTAATTTTGGCAATGATTACTTTTGGTAATAATTATGATTTATTTGCTGTAAAAATAGAATTTCACCTTTAATGTGACTATTTGGTTGTTTAGTTTCACAATTTTTTTCATCGGGTTGAATACGAATTTATGAAGTGTGGAAGGTGCTTAAGTTACAGCTTAAATCGGTGATTGGCATGTTTAGGTATAAGCAGAGCATATATGTAATCCTTATTTCCTTGTTTGTCTTATTTTCTTTATGTGTTTAAATTTCTTTATTTGTCTTATTTTCTTTGTGTGTTTAAATTTCCTTATTTGTCCTTGCCTATCTTCACCGCCCTTAATAATAAGGAAAATTACTAAAATGTAGGTGTTTGAGGAGTCGAGCCCTCGACCTACGTTTCTTCTTTTGTGTGCGACTTTCTATCCCGAATTTCCAGATGGGTTTTATTTGAAATTGTTATGCCTTAATTAATTGTTATTGTTGTGGTATGATCAATGTATGCATGTGGACCATGTAGCCTTCGATGTGAGCTGTACCGGCCGTCGAACAATTATCCCCGTAGCTATAGAACGTACCTTCGGGTAGTCTCCTTTATTATTGTTGGCAGTGAGGGCCTGAGCCTTGGCTGGTGATCCTCGTATGTAAGGCCAAGGCGTAAGTTTTGGCATTCGGGATGGATTATTGCTCCTGCTGGCCGGACACTCGTTGTAAGGCCTTAGATAAGGCGTTCGGTATATAGTTCGGCAGTAGTCTATTGCTATAGGTGTGCACATGAGACTCATTATGGATTATTGATAAGAGATGGGATGATTATTGATTCGTATACATGCTGTGACCATACCTAAATTGTTTATTGATTATTGAATATTAATTATTGCATAGCGGTGAGCATCTCGATTTTAGTATTGTGCTCTCCCCCACCTGCTCTTCATGGATGCAGGTTAGTGTTGCGGGCACGGCAGGAGGGATGCGAGTGGTGGTCTTAATAATTGATATTGCTTCCGCTTAGAATTGAATATTGCTATTACTGCTTTCTTTATTATTGATTACTGGATTATTGATAGGGAGTGTACTCCCTAGGGTGATTTGATTATTGGATTGCGAATTTGAGTATTGATAATTGAGTATTGATGATTGTTTAAGTATTGGTGAATGATTGAGTATTGAAAATTTGGTTAAACATTGATAAACCGTTTGAAAATGAGTAACGCCTCAACTGTTTAATGAAATAAATTTGAAAAATTTATTCTGATTTTCGACAAATTAAAGTGGGGCGTTACACAAGAGGTAGGGCCTCCAGCACCGCACGGCCTCCACGACCGCCAGCATCTCCTTCACGTATGCGGACATCCCCAGCCGCGTCGTGCCTAATGCCTTGTTGAGGAAGGCTAAGGGTCGTCCTTCCTGCACCAAGACCGCTCCAATCCTCATGTCACTCGCATCAGTATGAACTTCGAACATAGCATCGAACTTAGGCATTGCGAGCACGGGCGTGGTCGTCATGGCTTGCTTTAATTTCTCGAACGCAGCCTCACTAGCCTCCGACCACTTAAAGCCGTCTTTCTTTGTCATCTCGGTGAGTGGCTTGGCAATGGTGCTATAGTCCTTCACGAATTTGCGGTAATAGCCCGTAAGGCCGAGAAAGCCCCAAAGCTGCGTAAGGCTGGTCGATTTTGGCCAGTCCACCATTGCCTCGATCTTCCTTGGGTCAACCTTCACCCATGTGATATGAAGTGGCCGAGGTACTGGACCGACTCCTGCCCGAACGAACACTTGGATGGCTTGATGTGGAATGAATTCGCCTTCAAGATCTCTATCACTATGCGCAAGTGTTCGAGGTGTGCCTCTAAAGTCTTTGAGTATACCAAGATGTCATCAAAGAACACGAGCACAAATTTGTGCAAGTGCTCCTTGAATATGGAGTTCATTGCGAACTGGAAGGTCGACGGTGTGTTGCACAAGCCAAAGGGCATCACTAGATACTCGTAGTGCCCTTGGTGCATGCGAAAGGTTGTCTTAGGAATGTCGGCCTTGTGGAGTCGAATCTGGTGATACCCGGCCCTAAGGTCGAGCTTAGAAAAGTAGCGTGACCCTCCTAGCTCATCGAGCATGTCGTCGACATTCGGAATTGGGAACCAGTCCTTAATGGTTGCGGCATTAAGGGCACGGTAGTCCATGCAAAACCACCATGTACCGTCCTTCTTCTTCGCGAGCAATACCGGCGATGAAAACGTGCTCGTGTTGTGCTGAATGAGCCCGGACTCGAGCATCTCGCCTACATGCTTCTCGATCTCCGTCTTCTGGAAGTGCGCGTATTGGTAAGGATGAACGTGCACAGCCTGCTTCTCATCGACTAGTGGTATGCGGTGGTCGAACTCTCGATGCGGCGGCAGCCCCTGCGGATCGCCCAGGACCCGCCCAAATTGTTCGAGCAACTCGCGTATCTCCGCTTGCGACTGCTCGACCTCGCCTTTGCGCGCCTCAAACTCCTCGATTACTACCGCATAGAGTTGGCCGCCCCCACGCCAAACTTTCTCAATACTCTTGAGGCCAATCTCCTTGGTCCCACCGTCTTCACTTGCCCTCAGCGTGACTCGTTGTTCTCCCGAGTCGAACTTCATGACCCCCGTACGGTAATTGGTGGTCACGTCGCCCAAGCCTTCAAGCCATTGAACACCTAGCACAACATCGGGTCCAACGAGAGGCAAGGCATAAAGTTCAGCCATGACGGTCACTCCTTTGAACTTGATCGGTACGTCCTTGAATGTAGTGCCCCGTTTATTTGCGGATTATTTGGAATACATTATTATTATTTTTATTGTTATTATTATTATTATTATTATTATTATTATTATTATTATTTTGTTTGTGATAATATTATTATTTATGTTTCTTGAATGCTAATATATTTTATTTACTTGTCAAATGTGATTTAATGTTAACTGTCTAATTGTCTAATTGATTTTATGATTTATTAAATTATTAATATAAATTAATGTGTATTTTAAAAATATGAATATATATATATTGTTTGGTTTATTTTTTTTTTATCGCGCGTTTGCATTCGAAATCGAGCCCGAGTATTCCTGCGTGTTCAAATCGGTCCGAGAGCTTAACCAGTCCAAGACCATTTTCTTAATTACGTGAGGTGTGTGCATATTGTGATAAATAAAGAATAGTCAAAGCATCATTTGTTTTTTTTTTTTATTATTAACATATAGATACAAGTTTTGTATCTCTCCCTTCTCACATGATAACGTGAAATAGCATCTTTCTCCATCTTCTTGATTGGATCTAGCAAAATCCTCTCCTCCTCACATGGTTTCTTTTGTTAAAAACTGATCCCATCTCATCTCTTATAAAAAAAAAAAAAATA